CTGTTCCAGTCTGCTAGTCCTTTCTAGTGGGAATGTCTCACCTCATAAGGTTGTGGATGGTACTCAGGATTCCACCTAAGGTCCCATACTCTGTAAAGGCTTTGCATGAGGCCTATTTCACTGGGCAAGTTATAGAACCCCTTTTAGGTATTCCAATCAGTTTATAGGCTGAAGATGGGCTTACAAGTTTTCTCTAATCATGTTTCCCAACATTCCTTTCTATCCCACTCAAGTATCTGCTTTACAATAGTAGTCAAAGGAAACTAATATTCATAAGGCAGTCAAGGATTTTGCTATTATTTAACCTCTTCAAGCTATACCTAGATCCCTGTATCCCAGAGCCCTGTTGTTCCAAGGTTGAGTATGCATCACTATTTACTTCTGCCCCACTAGGCCATGCAAACCTGTCTCAGTGTTCCCCTATCTATCTTGTTCTTCTGCCTCCTCCCCACTTCTTGTATTGCCTTCCCCAACATCCACAGTAAACCCCCCACCCCAACCCCATTGTAGATACCTTATATTCCATTAGTTCTTCCCTCCATTTAAGACAGTCTATTTTATCTAGTAATCTACCTGACTTTCTCATCACCTGGATCTCTGTTCCTCTGTGTTTACTTTTTTTCACACTGTAATAGTTTTGATCATAGACTGACCTCCTAGATCCTCTGTTCTTATAATTTTATTCTGTTCTTGACTCTTCCGTTTTTTGACTGAGTTCAGGTTGATGCTGCCATGTACGTTATTCTGTAGTTGTTGTCTGCTTTTGTTGGTTCTCAGTCCATAGAACTTCCTTTAGGATGTTTTTCATAGCAGGATTGGCTTTGGCAAAATCCCTTAGTTTCTGTTTATTCTGGACTGTTTTGATTATATGATCGTATTTGACTGACAGCTTTTGCTGGGTAGAGGATTCTTGGGTGGCAGTTTTTTTCTTTCAGGGTTTTATATATGTCTCTCCATTGCCTTCTTGCCTGCATGGTTTCTGTTGAGAAATCTGATTTTCTTGCCTTTGTATGTTATATTTCTCTTTTTCCTAGCTGCTTTCAAGATCCTGTCTTTATCTTTGATTTTGTAGAGCTTGATTATTATATGCCTTGGTGGTTGTCTTTTAGGGTCTATCTATCCTGGGGTTCATTGAGCTTCTTGAATGTTTATCTTTTCACTTTTCATGATGTTCGGAAAATTTTCTTCCAGAAGGTCTTCAACTATCTCCTCTGTGGACCTGTGTGATTGTTCCTGTTCTGGAATGCCAATAATTCTTTTGTTATTCCTCTTCATGTTATTCAACATGAATCTTAGACCTTCTTCAGATTTTTTTTTATCCTTTTTCGTGTTTGTTCTTCTATCTTAGTAGTGTTGAGAGATTAATCTTCTAGCTCACTAGTTCTGGCTTCTATCTCTTCAATTCTACTCCTTTGCCCTTTCAGTGTATTGTCCATTTCTGATATTCTATTATTAATCATTTGG